AAAGGGATATTGAGGCTTTGGATACTATCAAAGAGAAAAAATTAATAATAGAGATCTTACTTTGATTTTAAGATTTTTCTTACCCATGAAACCAAATATTAACCCTAAAAATATCTCTAACTTAAAATTCATCCTACCTGCTAACGTTTTCAACCAAAGTTGCTAATCTCTTCTTTCCTGTTCAAGGCCAGGTTTATTTAATTTGTATTTCAAGAGGTATCATGACTGCAGGTGAGTGGAGGGCCTGAAACCATGTTGATTTCAGTAAAAGGGGGTGGGCAAGTGTCTTACTTATCCAGCACTGCTACAATAGATGCATACACCATAAGTGGATGGCTTCAACAAATAGAATTTATTCTTTCATGGTTTAGGAGGCTAGAACTCTGAATTCAGGACACCAGCTCTAGGGAACGTCTTTCTATCTCTGCTAGCTGTGGGTGAATGTTCTTGTCTCCTTTCAACATGTGGGCCCCGCATTCCTAGGACATCTCCATGCATCTTGACTTAAGTCTTCACCTGGGTCTAGGAAGTCTTTAGCACAGGGCCTCTTGGCTCCAAAGGATGTACTCTACTCCCAAATCTTCTTCCTTGGTGGTATTCAGGTCCCTCCTTCTCTGCTGGCTTCTCTTTCCTTTTCTCTTAGAAGACATGAAAGGTGTTGCGGGCCAAACCCTGGGGAAACTCCCCTATATTGGATCAGGGCTGTGACCTGAGTAAGGGCATTACATCCCTCCCCAACCCTCTTATAACTGATTGGCTGATCATATCAGATCACATTATGAGGGATGATCACATCATTATATAATACCAAATTACATCATTACATAACTTCCAAACCACTGAGGATCATGGCCCAGCCAAGATGATATATATACTTCTAGTGATACAATTCAACTCACGACAGCAGGGTTTAATCCATTATGTTAAGATTAGCCAATGGTTGATCTTTTATTCTCTTCTCTTTATAAGCTTCACTGTAACTAACCTATTTCAAGCCATTTGCTTTTTTTTTTTTTTAAATCAGAATGGTCTTCCTATATGCTGCTCAAAATACATACACCTTATGCTTCCATTTCATGGCTATTAATTATTTTCAACCGTACCACTAAGCTGAGGTAAGCCCAGTGTAACCTGTCTCCTCCAGTGATTACAATGGAAAACCCTGGACAAAACACAAACTAAGAAACCTGAAGAACTAAAAATAATAAATGGATTGGAGGTGAGAATCAAAACCTAAAGAACGGCCACTCACAAGGATGATTTTCTCAGGGATTTTCCCTCTTCAGTCCCCCTCATGAAGACTCATTGACAATCTGTGATATGCAGGTCATACAACCTCGCTTGCTGAAAGTAAAGAGGACTTGAAGCATTCACTGATGAAGGTCAAATCCTACAGTCCTCTGTATGGATTACACCTCAACATAAAGAAAACAGAAATCCTCACAACTGGACCAGTAAGCAACCTCACAATAAATGGAGAAGAGATTGAAGTTGTCAGGAATTTCATTTTACTTGGATCCACAATCAGCACCCATGTAAATGGCAGTCAAGAAATCAGGTAATGTATTGCACTAGGCAAATGTGCTGAAAGAGACCTCTTTGAAGTGTTAAGCATAAAAGACTTCACTTTGAAGACTAAGGCATGCTTAACCCAAGCCATGGTCTTTTTAATCGCTTCATGTGCATATGAAAAAGCTGGACAATGAGTAAGGAAAACCGCAGAAGAGTTGATGTCTTTGAAATGTGGTATTGGCAAAGAATACTGAAAATACTATGGACTGCCAGAAGAATGAACAAATCTGCCTAAGTTCAGCTGTAATGCTCCTTAGAAGTAAGAATGGCCAGGCTTCATCTCACTTACTTTGGTCATGTTGTCAGAAGAGATCAGTCCCTAGAGAAAGATAATATTTGATAAAGTCAGTGAGAAAGGGGAAGACCTTCAACAAGATAGATTGACACAGTGACGGTGGTGATGGGCTCGAGCATAGCAAAGATTGTGAGGATGGAGCAGGGCTGGGCAGTGTTTCATTCTGTTGTACACAGGGTTGCTGTGAGTCAGAGCTGATGTGACAGCACCTAACAACAACAAAGTGATTATAAACACTCTTGAAACAAATGAAAAGAGGAAAGTCCAGTAGAGAAATAAGAACTATTTTAAAATATGTAAGATTTAGAAATATAAAGCATAATGCCAGAAATTAAAAAAAAAAAAATCACTGGGTAAAGCAATAGCAGAATGAAAAGGACAGAGGAAATCAGTCAAATAAAAGTATATCTGCAGATATTATCTAATCTCAAAAAGAGAGATGAACAGGATTGAAAAACATGAACAGAGCCTTGAGAATCTGTGCAACTATATCAAAAGTTCTAACATTCGTGTCAAGAGAGAGGATAAAGAGATGGATGCAAGAAAAAAAAATTGAAGAAATATTGTGGTAGTTTGGTTTGTGTGTCAACTTGGCTGGGCCTGGTTGAGTGGCTGGGCAGCTAGGGGTAGTTAATCCACATGAGGAAAATGGCAATCAACTCCATGGTGGGATCTACCACAAGCAGCTGAGTAGCTGCCTTTGGGTTGTGGTCTGCTTCCTATATATAAGGAGAAGCCTTGGGAATGGTCTCTAGCCTATGGCATCTTGGACCCTGCATGTAGCCGTGTCATTGCTCAGCAGCCTGCTATGCTCTGCCAACCCTGGGACTTACAATGGGCTTAAGTTAATGGCCTGCCGTGTGGATTGGTAACATCGGGACTGTGCCTTTTTACTTGTCAACCTTGGGGCTGCCAGCCTCAGCAGCCAGCAGCTGTCTGAGTGAAGAAATGCCTCTAGCTCCAGTGGGCCAGGAGCAGGAGGCAGAGCTGGACCCCAAGGTTGAGGGGCTTTCACCCAGCCCCTAGAGCCTGGCACTTTGAACTTGGACTTAAAGCCTCCAAATTGTAAGACTAAACCGTTTGTTAAGGCCATCTTATTTGTGGTATATTTTCTTGTCAGAGTGGTCCTAGGTAACCGGAAGAATCTACTATGCCAGGAATGACAATTTGAAGAGGAATCATGTGGCATTCATCATCACAAAAGATGTTTCAAGATCTGTCCTGAACTACAATGCTGTCAGTGATAGGATAATATCCATATGCCTACATGGAAGACCCATTAATACTACTATTATTCAAATTTATGCACCAATCGCCAAAGCCAAAGATGAGGAAACTGAAGATTTTTTATCAACTTCTGCAGTAGAAATTGACTGAACGTGCAATCAAGATGTGTTATCACTGGTGACTGGAATGCAAATGTTGAAAACAAAGAAGAATCCGGTAGTTGGAAAATTTGGCCTTGGTAACAGAAACAACACTGGAGACCACATGACAGAATTTTGCAAGACCAACAACTTATTCATTGCAAATACCTTTTTTCGACAGCCCAAATGGTGGCTGTACATGTGGACTTTGCCAGATGGAGTGCACAGGAATCAGATTGACTACATCTGTGGCAAGAGGTGATAGAAAAACTCAATATCTTCAGCCAAAATAAGGCCAGGAGCTGATTGTGGAACAGACCATCAACTGCTCATATGCAAGTTCAACTTGAAGCTGAAGACAATTAAAAAGTTCACAAAAGCCAAAATATGACCTTGATTATATCCCTCCTGAATTTAGAGACCATCTAAAGAATAAATACGCAATGTAAAAACTACCAGAAGTACAAGAAGAACTTGATTAAGTGAATAATCACACTAGTGTGATTTTAATACAGTTCTCTGAGTATTTCATAGTTCATAAATATAAAATAAATAAAAACCTTGGCAATTGATTAAGAGTGAAAACAATTTAAGGGGACTTTGTACCCTATAAACAGATCGTACCAAGAACAAACAAACAACAATAAAAGGGACTATTTAGCAAAAGAAATCATCACTATATTCCCAATGCTAAAAAACTATAAAGCCCTCGTTTCAGATCATAATCCAATGAAACAAGGAATCAGTTAATGATGACCAAAAGAAATAAACCGCCTGGAAACTTAGCCAGAACAAGAACACTGAGTGCCTCCTCTCAAGTTTCATTGGCATTTCTTTGGCCAAGCAGGAAGGTGGGCATAACAATAAATGACTCCTTCCTACAAGAGCTGGCACAAGGTGAAAGTGGAGCCAGAGGACAAGACTGAGTTGGCTCCAAGGTGACAGCTGGGTCCTGACCCCAAAGTCACCTCTGTATCTTGTGCATTCATAGAACTTACTAGGCTCTTTCCCAGAATGCCTGTATCAGAAATAGCATCTCTAATACCTTTTGCCTCGGAAACCCAAGGAGGGGTCGCTATGAGTCAGGGCCGACTCGACGGCAAACAACGACGACAACAACAATACCTTTTGCCAACACTGGGGAGAGGGCATTTTGGGTGATATAAAATCTCTCCCTCCTACTAGTCACTCCTCACTGGCCTCGGTGCTCCTATCTGCCTATTTGATCCCAAAGATCCTAATTCTAAGCCTCTCCAGGATATGAAGCATTGCAGAAACATGTGTTCATTACCTTCACTGAAAAATTCTTTTCTGAGTCTCTGTAAGATTAAGCCCTTGGCCCTGGAAGCACAGTAAAGACAGAGATGATTTCTGACCACATGGGTGGAGGTGGTTTCAAGGCAGTGTATGAGGGCAATGACGGAATGAGAGGGGATCGGAGAGAGGGGAACACTCTAGCGAGGGGAAGGAAGACCAAAGATTTCCTGGTGCCTGGATCCTCTGTTCAGGTATTTCCACAATATGTTTACCTTCTCTAGTCCTTCTGGCTCCCCTCAGAGTGCATAAAACAGGACTCTGGGTAGTGAATAATCAATTAATGCTACTGATGAAAGGACCAATGTTATTGATAGTAAAGCTTTATACTTCTCTTTGGGTCATTGCCCATGACCACCCCTCCTCCAAGGAGGCCAATAAAGACCTGAGTCCAGAGCTATGTTGCAGAATGCTTTGGACTCCTGGATATTCCACATCCTTTTCAAAAGATCATGAAATTCTTATTCTTGGCCCTTGCTGTACTTTTGGTCCTGTTCCAGATGTTCACAGGTAACCAGAACTCAAGGAAGAAAGGAAGAGAGTTAGGACAAGCTTTGAAACTAGATGAGATGAGATGACTGAAGGAGTAAGTGTAGATAAAGAAGGGAAGAGGTCAGAGGAGTGATCGTGAGGCACTCCAACAGCCAGGGAGTTGAGAAATAAGACTAAAAAGGAACAGCCAGTGAAGTAGGAGGGAAACCAGGAGATGCTGGTGTCCTGTGAGACAAACTAAGAAAGTTTTTCAAGGAGAATGTGAGCAACCACATAAGTTCTGCTCTTAGAGCAAGGAAGATAAGGACAGAAAATTGATCACTCTTATTTATTAAGTTTTTACATCTTTTTAAGAGGTTGCCTTGGGTTCAAAGATAATCAACTCTGTAATTTATGACATATCTTAACCATCAGACCATGCAGTGCCCCTTTTGTTTACAACTTGTACCCTATTCCTTCCACACCCTAGGCAACTTTCCTAACATGTTTGACATGAATCCCTGTGCCTGTATGTTTTCTTTTAAAATATGTACCTCTATTTTGTGTGCATATGTTTTTAACTTACATCAATGCCATTGTACCGTAGATCTCATTCTGTTTTTTTCCACTTAAACTCAACACTATGTCTGTAGGATCTACCTGTGTTGCTCTGTTTCCATCTACCCTATGGATTCTAATGGCTGTACAATGACCCATGGTGTGCATTTATCACTGTTTCTTTATTCTTCTGGGGATGCACACCCAAAATGTCTGCATAGACCCAGATGTGAAAAGATTGGTTCATGATTGGCACCATCCTAATGGCAAGGAGCCTCAGAGATTTTCTGTGGAATTTCTGGGTCACAGGGAGTGCATATTTTTAATGTGACTGAATGCAGCCAGATTGCTTTGCAGATCCAGCCCATGGTCCCACCAGCTTGGCTTGATGGGTTCAAGATGCATTAAAGACCTACATGTAAAAGAAAAACTTGTAAACATAATACAAAAAGGTAAACTTTCCTTTTATCACAATACCCCCCACACATTCTTTGCATTATTCATCTTTCTAATATTTGCAAGTGATATTTGCAAAGTGATGTATCGTTATTGTTTAAATACACATTTCTCATATTCCTGAGCTTGAACACCTTCTCATATGCCCATTGGCCTTTGGGTATCACTTTCTATAAGTAGCCTGAACACTGTTGTTGTTAGGTGCTATCGAGTGGGCTCCGCCTCACAGTGACCCTGTGTACAGCAGAACGAAACACTGTCTGGCCCTGTGCCAGCCTCACAATCCTTCTCAAAGAAGTGGCCAGTGGAAACCTTGTGAATAGCAGTGAAACACTGTCTGATATAGCATGAACATAAGATTCTTCTTTTTTTCTATTGGAGTTACTATCTTTTTCTTGTTGATTTGCAGATGACCTTTTATACAGTCTAGATATCACAGTTTTGTCACCTCTAGACATTTCAAACTTGATATCCCCAAACTGTCTTCTGTCTGTTAATTTTGTCCATGATGTCCTTTGTTGAACAGAAATCCTTAATTGTGATGTAATCTTATATAGCAAACTTTTGCGTTATGGTTTACACTTCATGTGATTTCCTTCAAAGTACTTCTTCATTCATAGGTCAAAAGGACATTTTTCCTTTTTTCTATTATATTTACAATGCCTTTCACATTTATTCTTTAATCCATTTTGAACCCACATTTCTCTATGGAGTAAGGTAAGGATTTAATTTTACTTCTCTCCATAAAGCAAGCCAATATTCCCAACATTGTTTACTGAAAACAATTTTAAAGAAGAACTGTTTTCTTTTTTTTTTTTTTCCTATTGTTTTGTGATGTCATCTTTATTGCAAAGCAAGTTTCAATATGCTTGGAATCAATCTTTAAGTTCTCTACTCTGATCTTTTCATCTGGTTGCCAATTCTTTTGCCAATGCCATTCTAGTGTAAAGCAATGCTAAAAGTTCTCTTACATGACACATTGTAATCATTAGACCATGCAAAGCCCCTTTTATTTACAACTTTTACCCCATGCTTTCCACACCCTAGGCAACTTTCCTAACATGTTTGACATGCATCCCTGTGCCTGTATGTTTCCTTTTAAAATATCTGGTTGCCAATTCTCTTGCCAATGCCATTCTAGTGTAAAGCAATGCTAAAAGTTCTCTTTAACTGGTACTCTGTGTGGAGGTTTCTCAACTGTAACACTAGTGTGTGGGGTGTAGGACTTTAAAGAGGGAAGGAAATGAACTTTGGACTTAGAATTTTTATGTCCATTCCCAGGAATATTTATGTGTAGGAGCATAACAAAAATACTCTCACAAGTAGAAAGTCTCAGAATGTTTGCCACACTAATATGCACTTTGAAAATTCTCTTGGAAGAAGAACTCAAATAAAAAGAGAAACAAATCCAGCAGGATGTTGGAAATGATATGAGATATAAGAATCAATTAATTTGTAAGTTTTAGTTGACTAAAAAATCCGGACTAGAGAAGAAGAATGCCCATAATCGCCCATCCATTTTAGATAATCCTATGGTTAGGAAGAGATGGCCAAGACTCAGTGGAGAGGTAGCAAAGGAATGTGAGAGCATGCTAAAGTACTCGTCTTGCAAAGGAATAAAATATAATTATGAATAAGTTTTAAAAGTCCATATATCATAGTTATCATGGGTATGGAGTTCCTGGGTGGTGCAAATCGTTAATGGACTTGCTGCTAAGTGAGAGGTTGGTAGTTCAAGTCCAACCAGAGATGTCTGAGAAGAAAGGCCTGGCAATTTAATTCCAAAAACTCAGCTATTAAAAGTCCTGTGGAGCCCTGTTCTGCTCTGACACATGGTGTCATGAGTTGGAACCAACACAACCATAACTGATTCTTTTGAATCATTAATATGACTTTTGTTATTGCTGATAGCATAAGAATAAAAATAAAATGAGTGCATTATAAACCAGCCAAAGAAACTCTTACCCATCTAATTGAAAATAGTAAATAAGTGAAAAAAAAACTTTGATAAAATAAGAGAGCAGAAAAAAAGTCCAAATATAGTTTTAATTACAATAAATATATATGGATTAAAATCACTAATTAAAGGGTTGTTGTTGTTATGTGCCGTCGAGTCGGACCCGACTCATAGAAACCCCTCCTTGGGTTTCCAAGGCAGTATCGCTACAGAAGTAGATTGCCCAAACTTCCTTCCGAGGAATGGCTGAGGGGTTTGAACTGCCAGCCTTCTGGTTAGTAGTCAAGTGCCTTAGGCACCACACTACCAGAGCTCCCTAATTAAAGGCTTAAATTCTCAAATTAGGTGAAAAAAAAAAAAATCTAACAGCATGTTGTCTAAAGAACATTGGCACACATATATAATCAGATATGGAAACATTAAAGTAATAAAGTGTCATACTAAGCAAATATCTACTAACATAAAGCTGGAGTAGCAATCTTAATATGTGTCACGTGTCAGAGAATAATTCTAGGTAAAAAGTATCATTGATAAAGAGGTAGTTTTTATACCAGTAAAAGAAAAGTGCTGCAAGAACATGTTGGCACCTACAATGTCCACTTCCAAATTTATGAAACAACCAACGACCATGTTTTATAGAAAAACAAGTACATCAACTATAGTATTTGGAGATTTTTAACCCAAATTTTAGCAACTGGTTAAAAACAACACACTGAAGTTCTTCTGCCCAATGTATTGAGTAAGCCTGAGAGATACTCAGGGGGAGATGGCTTGAGGAGATGGAGTCAGATGAATGCACAAACCTAGGAAAGCCAAAAATTGCCAGCACTACTAGAAGCTGAGGAAGATGGGGCCATCTACTCCCGTAGTGACACTGCCTCGGAAACCCAAGGAGGGGTCACTATGAGTCGGGTCCGATTCGACGGCACATAACAACAACAACAACAACTAGAAGCTGAAAAAAGCAAAAAAAAAAAAAAAAAGGAAGAAGAAGAAGAAGGACCTTCCCATAGAGCTAACACCCCAAATTAGACTTCTAACCTCTAGATGTACGAGGAAATAAACTTCCATGCTTTAAACCCACCTACTTGGCAGCTTAGGAAATTGAGACAGATGCCTCAGTGAAAGTGCCTCAAAAAGTAAGAATCATAGATTATCTCGATTCTATCTCTTGAGATTTGGCACGTTTTATGGTTTATACATATATTGTCTGTGAAGTGACCAACAGGCATCTTAAAAATAAAACAGATTTCTATCTACTTGTAGGGATATTTCATCCTTAGACTTTGTAAAATACTTTGTTGCTGCCTTTCAAGAATTTATTAGTATACAGATATTCTTCCAAAGATTTTCTAGACGTTGTCTATAGTACAGTGGTTCTCAGTATACCCCCTCAACCAATGGCATCAGCATTACCTGGGAATTTTTTGAAAGTACAAATTTTCAGGTCCCATCCCAGACCTAGTGAATCGGAAACTGTGGGGATAGGGTCCTGCAATCTGTGTTTTAACAAACTCCCAGGAGACTGTGATGCCGGCTAACGTGTGAGAACCACTGCTCTAGTAAATCGCCTACCACAGCTGGGCTTCTGTGCTCTCTGATTAAACACTGGTTTAGTTTCATTACTGACTCACAGAGCACTCATTTAAAAAATATATATATATATATTGTGATTTGGGTGAAAGTTTACAGAGCAAATTCATTTTCCATACAGCAGTTCATACATATTTTGTCCCTTGACATTGACTTCAATTCCCCACAATGTAACAGCTCTCTTTCCACTTACTCCCCATAGTTACCTCTTCCCTGTGTCCTTCCCTCCCGTGCACTCCTGTTCCCCGCCCCCACAGCCGTCTCCTTATGCAAACACTGTCCTTCTGTTCTTCCGTGATTTATCATAGAGCAATCTTTTTTAAGACACCATAAGTGACAATTATGAGTCCAATTTTAGTTAAAATTCCTACAATGTAGTAGGATAAACGTCAATAATTCAGCTGAGGTTCAATTAAATTAACCTCCTTTGCATAGCTAATTCTCATAGTCACACAACTTGTTGACAAATGACTCCAGTTACTGCTGGACAGCAAATTCCTTTGACATTGATGATAAGATACTTAAAGATAGGGACTATTTTATCAAACCTTGCTTTGCTTATGTAATCTCTTCTAATGCACACAAGGTTGTTGTCAAGATTACAGATATGCTCATTTTAATTGTCATGACTATGAGCTTCAATATCTTGAGTCAATTCCCTTCCTTTACTCTTTTCAGTCTGCAGGGGCCGAAAATCCTGCTGGACCAAAAAAAGACAGTGCAGGAAAGACTGCAAACATGGTGAGCAGCTGAAGGTATCATGTAAAAATGGTAACTATTGCTGTATTCCAAACAAGACAGATTCTCAACCACACAGACCAACCCAAGGACTTACCAGCAAAACCCAAAACCTAGATGACGATATTCAAGCATATATCCCAGACATCCCAATAATCATCAGTGGTGCCAACAAGAATTTAAAGTGAAACAACTAAAAATTTGGGACTTCTAAGACCAAAGATTATCAACACCAGTCCCTCATCTTTGGACCTTTAAAACTATCAGTCACTGATCTATAAGACTTTCCGATTTCCTAAGATCTGAAAATTCTATGGTGTCCCAACCTCACCAATATACAATTCTAAACAAAAACGATGAAAAACTAATTAGTTGTTAGAAGAAATGCAGAAAACTTACTGTTTTCCCTGAAAATTCTCTTAACATACTTTTTTAAACATTAAATATCATTTCTTCACTCAAGAAAAACACTTTTCCATTTTTTTTTCTGCCTATGATTTGATAGTATCCTGTGTCTTTTACATTATTCTCTCCGTCTGAGCCTCTCCCATCCCAACAAGAGTTTGGGAAGCCTCTGATAAATCCTTTGTGTCGTTCTTGTTTCCTGGCTCAAAAATAAGTACCTCCTTGATTTTTGACCAATAGCTATGAGGACACTGAGAATTTTCTTTATATAATAGAAGACACTTCAGAAGCTCTGGTAATGTAGTGCCTAAGGCGCTTGACTGCTAATCAGAAGGCTGGCAGTTCAAACCCACCAGCCACTCCTTGGAAGAAAGGTTGGGCAATCTACTTCCATAGTGATACTGCCTCGGAAACCCAAGGAGGGGTCGCTAACATTACTAGCTCAACTTGGGTTCTAAACTTCTGTCTAATGTCTTGCCCCAGAAGTGAACTGGGCCAGGAGTGTGCCTTGAGGAATTCTTCAACCTCTTTTCTTAAGGACTAGACTAGTGCCTTGTTGGTTTGCAGGCTCCATGTTTTCTTGACCAAAGTCCTGATCATATTTGGCAATCCAAAGGACCATTTATGAGGCAGCTGAATCCTGTGTCATTAACTTGCCCTTCTGAGCATGTGTGTGTTAGAGGAGGAAGACGCAGAAAAGAACAAGAAAATGAAGAGTTCAAATAAATGTCCCAGCATAAGCACCATAGGGAGGAGTTATCTTGATGTCAGTTTCATTTTACAAGTTGGGTTACCCCTATTAGGAACTTCATTTCCAAGGGCCATCTGGGCAAACTGACTGCGAAAGACCTCTTCAACTTGTTGAGGAGCAAAGACTAATATGTGCCTAATCCAAACCATAAAGAACTCTGGTGGCACTGGGCTGTTAACTAAATGATAGGCAACTTGAAAACTCGAGTTTCTCCACAAGGGGAAGGTGAGACAATCTACTTCTATGAAGATTTACATCGTCTCATATGCATGTGAGAGCTGGGCAATGAATAAGGAAGACCAAAGAAGAGCTGAAGCTTTTAAGTTGTGGGGTTGGTGAAGAATGCTGAAAGTACCATGGACTAATCAAAGAACTAACAAATCTGTCCTGGAGGAAGTGCAGCCAGAATGCTCCTTGGAAGTGAGAATGGCCAGACTTCATCTCACCTACTTTGGTCATGTTGTCAGAAAGGACCATTCCCTGGAGAAGGATGTCATGCTTGGTAAGGCGGAGGGTCAACAAAAGAGGGGAAGGCCCTCAACAAGATGGATTGACTCAGTGGCTGCAATGATGGGCTCAGACATAGCTATGATCATGAGGCTGGCACAGGAGTGGGCAGTGTTTCATTCTGTTGTATATGTGGTCACTATGAGTCGGAGACAACTTGACGGCACCTAAAACAACAAGATTAGCACAAGGAAACTGGTGGTGTAAACTATTAAGCGTTTGGCTGCTAACCAAAAAGTTGGTGATTTGAACCCACCCAGCATCTCCATGAGAGAAAGACGTGGCCATCTGCTTCCATAAAGATCACAGCCAAAACCCTTCAGAGAAGTTCTACTCTGTCACATGTGGGGTCACTATTGTTAGAATCTACTCAACAGCACTTAGCAACAAGAAGACGGTTAGCACTGCAAGGGAAAAGAGGGTTGATGGATCATGTAAAATATCCATGAGGGTCAAGGCAGGAAATGATTTACATCAGTTTTCTACTTATCTCCATTGGCCGGAACTCAGTCACATGACCTCAACCAACCTGCAAGAAAGGCTGGAAAATGAGGGAACAGTGTATAGGTATTTGGTGACCACTGGTAGCACAGTGCCTAAGGCATTTGACTGCTAACCAGAAGGCTGGCAGTTCAAACCCACCAGCCACTCCTCAGAAGGAAGTTTGGGCAATTTACTTCCATAGTGATAATGCCTCGGAAACCCAAGGAGAGATCCCTATGAGTCGGATCTGACTCTACAGCAGTGAGTAACAGACTATAGGTCCCTGGGTAGCTTAAACAACTTGTGTTCTGCTACTAAAAGAAAAGTTGGTGGCTCAAATCTATCCAGCAGCACTGCAGAAGAAAAGGCTGGTAATCTACTTCCGTAAGACTGTTGCAATCCCATGTGACAGAGTAAAACTAACCTTTCGGGTTTTCTTTTTTTTTTTTTTTTTAATTTAAATTGTGCTTTAGGTGCAAATTTACAGAGCAGAGTTTGTTTTACATTCAACATTTCGTGTACATTTGGTTTCACTCCCCAATCACTATCCCCAACCCTAACCCACTCTCCTCCTCTCCCTTCCCAGTACTCACCCGGTGCCCCTCATAGTTATGCACTCACTCCTGTGGGTCCTGCATTTCCTCTATGCGAATGTTGCCCCTCTGGTGTCCCATGGTCAATTGCTCCAAGGAATACATCTCCATAGAGTAAGTATGTGGGTGCATCATCCTGGGTTGGGTGGTTTGCGTGTACTTCTTGTTTACTATTGGGCTGAGATTCAGCCCCTGGGAGTGAGTTTTATTCCAGGCCCGAAGTGTATCCCAGGACCATAGTATTGGGGTTCTCATCAGACTTCCTCTGACCTGTAATTCTGGTCATTATTGTGTTTTTGAATTTTGTTCCTTGTTTTTCCTCCCACTCTATCCAGGAGCTCCAGTTCTGATCCTCTCCTGAGTGGTTGGCATTGGCAGCCGGGTACCATCTAGTTCTTCTGTTTTTGAGGTCCATCATGTCTTAGGGCTGATTGCTTCCAAATATGGCTGCAATCTTTATGGGAGCAGATCACCAAGTCTTTCTCCCTCAAAGCCACTGGGTGGGTTCAAACCACCAACATTTTGGTTAGCAGCCAAGTGCATAACTATCATGCCACCAGGGATCCTTTCCATGAGACTATATATAGCCATTGAAAACCCTATGGAACACATTTCTACCCTGAAATACATGGGGTTGCCATAAGTTCCAATGGATTTGAAGGCAATGGATTAACAGACTCTACCACAGTCAGAAATAGTCATACCTCCCTTAATCTCTTCTTCCCACATAAAGAACACTCTCAATTCCTTCCCAATGGACACAACACAAGAGACAACCCCTCTCTAAGCCCAGCGTTCCTGAGCAATGCACTGCCTCTATCATCAGGTCCAGATGTGGGTCCCCTTGAACTAAGAAGACAAGTTATCTGTCCACTCACATACACACCACAGAAAATGCTGGGCCAAAAGTAAAGTAACTGCAATCAATATTCTCATTTGGAAAGGAACAGCAGCCATTGGTACATAGCAATGATGAAACATCTTTAGGCCTATATTTTGAGAACTCACTCTTTGGCTAGGCTAAATTCTCTTAACTCCAGAGCTCTTGCTGCACCCCTGATTCTGTCCTCTGCTGTGAATTCCCTTGTCCTTTGTTCTCTATAAAAGGAGCCCTGGTGGTATAGTGGTTAAGGCATTTGGCTGCTAACCAAAAGATTGGTGGGTCGAACCCACCAGGCACTCTGCAAAAGAAAGGTGAGGCAGTCTGCCTCTGTGAAGATTTAAAACTAAATAAATAAATAACTCACTGCCGTCATAGCAACCCCTCCTTGGGTTTCCGAGGCGGTAACACTACAGAAGTAGATTGTCTGATCTTCCTTCTGAGGAGTGGCTGGTGGATTTGAACTGCCAGCCTTCTGGTTAGCAATTAAATGTTTTATGCACTAGGCCACCAGAGCTCCTCTGTAAAGATTTACAGCCTTGGAAACCCAATGGAGCTCACTAGGAGTCGGAATCCACTCGATGGCAGTGAGTTTGGGTTTGGGGTTATTTTCTTTTTAGGTTTTATTCTCTGTAACACCTGAATCTATCCCCTGGGAACATCCTTCTTATGTTTAATTCTCCTTGGCTGTATTTGAAATTGGTATTTGGAAACTTGCCCACCTTGGAGACTGCAGTTTTGAATCCTGTCTCCACTCACTGGAGAACCAAAGGTTCTTTCACAGCTCAGTCAAAGACTTTGTCTGTCCAGTGTTACTGGTTCTTTGGCAACATGGTACCTTTGAAAACGTAGTCGGCCTCTAATCTATTTGCTTCCAGTCAGTTCCATCTGCAGCTAGCCAAAATCAATGTTCCTTCCTAGACTTCCATCAAATTATTTTTAGTGGTTTCTTGTCCTATATATGCTCTCTCTCTTTCTCTCTTTCCAGCTACCTGGAGTTGTTGTTGTTGTTGTTATGTGCCGTCGAGTCGGCCCCGACTCATAGCGACCCCTCCTTGGGTTTCCGAGGCAGTATCACTACGGAAGTAGGATTGCCCAACCTTCCTTCCGAGTTAGGGTCTCTCAAAAATGGGTTTGTCTACAACGACCAACATTCTGCAGAGCATTCACTATGGGCCAGGAACTTTACATACAGTGTCTCATTCAATCTTCACACCTCTACTCAAAGTCTCATTTCAGAAATGTTAGTCTCATTTGAAATTCAGTACGCAAGCACCATTCTATATTCTGGTTTATGTGCTCTTCACTCTCTCAACTATTTCCTACCTTCTCTTCTTTGCTTGTCAATACCTCCTACACCATCTTCATCCTCTGATGACCTTGATTTGTATTTCATTTTTTAAAAAAGAAACAAATAAAAACACATGGTACTATATACATCTGCCCTTTACCAGCATCTACACCCAAATCCTCTGCCTTCTTGCCTCTTTCTGCAGATGCAGTAGCCATCCTCCTATTTAAAGGCACTCTTTCTCCACTTATAAAGTAGATTCCACTCTCTTGCCTATT